TGGTCTTATTGATTAGTACTTTATTCTATACCTTTCTCCTTGTTTAATTTGTTCAAAGCTTCTAAAATCCTATTCAACTTTCTTTCTAACTTATCTTGAGCTTTATTTATCCTCTCGAGATGATTAAAATTTTTTTGTTCTATTTGTCTAGCTTGAGTTCTTGTGTTGTACTGATGAGTTGGGTTTTTGCTTAGTGGAGCTATCCTTAAACCTTAAGTACCACAATTATGATAAAAAATGATACGCTTTATGCTTTATGTTTGGTATGTTGATGCATGAATGAAATGTACATTTTTATGGATGAAATAAAAATGATGCAGATGTAGAATGCTACATATGACAATGAAAATGATGCATGGTATGGTAATGCAAATGCACAAAGTTAAACAAATAAAATAATTAGATCACAAATTGTTTCTTCTTGTGTCCTAACTTTGGGTTATATCTATCAATAAGTAGGAAGGGCTCTATCTTAAGGCTGGACTCTTAAGTGCACACTATATGTTGGGTTATGAGATTTTGACCACTAAAAATTTTTAAATTGTTTCTTACATTATAGTCCATCACAGACTAGTAAGGTAGTCCAATTCTCACCCATCACAGGCTATCAACGAAAAAATTCAATTTGAGTGAGAGTATTTCACTAGCCATTATAGAGATTATCATCTCACGAGAGCGTAGATATTTTACTCCCTTTTAAGATGGATAGAGCTCAGGTATAGAGCTTATGTTTGGCAAATGCATGTGATAGTATGTGTGAAAGAACATATAGGTTTCTTGCCCCAAAAATAAAATACAAGATAAAAAAAATGTTAGTAAACAAATAACACAAAGCGTAGATATTTTACTCCCTCTTAAGATAGATAGAGCTCAGGTATAGAGCTTATGTTTGGCAAATGCATGTGATAGTATGTGTGAAAGAACATATAGGTTTCTTGCCCCAAAAATAAAATACAAGATAAAAAAAATGTTAGTAAACAAATAACACAAATCATCACAATTTAAAACCATCAAACCAAAGGATAAGATATATTCAAAAATTATGGCTTGACTCTCTAGCTCCTCAGTGGAGTCGTCAAATTATCATAACATATAAATCCATAAATTTATAGCTAGACTTAACAGAAAAAGTAACCATCAATCTTTTTACTATGTGTGATTGGCTACCTAAAGAATTATGCTCTTAAGGAGCTCTTAAGTTTGACTAAGGGTCCCTAAAAAAATAAATTATGGTCTACTAACCAAAACAGGGTTCGAAAACTCGGTTACATGTGAGGAAGGTTATAGCACCCCCATATGTCTATCTAAAAGATGGTACCATATTATTTTAAATTTATCCATAGGTCTTGAGTCTAATGGTTTCAAATTTTTATATTAAAATATTAAAAATAATTTATAAGATTCTTTCATCAATTTGGTATAATTTTTAAAAATATTTTTTATTTCAAGAGTATCTAAAGATCCCATTTGTTTCCTTGAAAAAACTCTGTTGTCAGAAAAAGATTTATTTATTATTATTTTTAAATATATTTAATTATTTCACCATTTAGGCCAAATTAGAAATATTTTTTTTAATTTCTAAAGTTTTCACATTTAGGCCTATTTAGAAATTCTTTTTTTTTTCTTGGATTTCTAAATTTTTCACCATTTTGGTCAATTTAGAACTATTTTCTTTTTATTTATTTTTTTATCTTCAGAAAGAAAATAATATGATAATTATTTTTTATTAAATTTATTAAATTCTTTCACCATTTGAGATAAATTTAAAGAAATTTTTCACCTACAGATTTTTTAAGAATTTACCATTTGAAATTTTTAAAGAAATTTTAAGAATCTCATCATTGGATAAGTATCAAATATTTCAACTAAATTTAAAAAAGAATACAATTACTTTTATTGAAATTTTATCTAAATTATTTCATCATTTGAGATAAATTTAGAGAAAATTTCTTACCTAGAGATTTTTAGAAATTTACCATTTGAAATTTCTAAAAATATCATCATTGGGTAATTTGTACTTAATTCCAAAATTTTTATCAATATTTTTTATTTTTTATTTTTCTATTTTTTTGTTTTGAAAATAAATATTAATTATTGTTATTAAAACTTTATCTAAATTATTTTACCATTTGAGACAAATTTAGACAAAATTTCTCACTTAAGAATTTTATAGAAATTTACCATTTGAAATTTCTATAAATTTCATCATTGGATAATTAATATTTATTTCCAAATTTATTTTATTTTTTATCTTTTTTATTTTTATTTAAAAAAAATTAATCATGCAAAAATACTTAAAAAATAAATAAATAAAGTGAAAAAAAATACCCAAAACAAGAGACGGCTTGACTCTAATTGCTATAGCACAGCTCGATTGCAAGAAGAAAAGCTGAAATGACTTAAAAAGTGGCTTCGCTTGGCTCGACTTGAGACAAAAAGAGAAAAAATCGTCGAAATCTGAGAATTTAAAAAAAAAAAAATTTTAACCCCAAAAAAATCTAAAATTTTCTTAATTGCTTTCTTTGATTTCTACCTCTTTCCCTAATTTTTTTTTGTGTATCTATGTGATCTGTATGGACATGTATTTATAAGATTATGAATTTAACAACTCCAATCTAGAAAAAAAATTCTAATTTCTTTTAAATTTCAACCTTAAATCCAACTTCATCTTTACAAACCAATTCCAACAATTTCACATAAAATCAATTATCTTTTTTTTATTTTTTTTATTTTTTATTTTTTATTTTTTTATTAATAAAATTAATCTAAGTAGAACCCTAGATAAATTAAAATATCTACACTTATTTAAAAATATTTTAAAATATTTAAAACTATATATACTTTCACAGATATGTAATAAATTCAATATGTATGTACGATAATACTGAAATATTTTTGCAGAGTGAGTACTGAGTAGTGTTGGACCACTTCACTTTTCTCCTAAATTGTCTGCATTGATGTTCGAGGAGTACTTTCATACAATTACAAGATCCGATTGTAATCTCCTTATCTTTGTTTGAGTTAAAATGTTTGCTCCGATTTTGTCTCTCGTTGTTGTTTCATACTGCAAGTAATTTTACAAGTACATTTTCACACATAATTTTTATGATTTTAATTCGGGGTAAAAAGAAGTAAAAAATCTAAAAATCGATTCAAAATTATAATATTTAACTTCATTCGAATTGATTTTTTTATTTAATTCAAATTAAGATTGAATATTAAATATATTAGATCAAATTTTAGATAAAAATGTGAAAAATAAAAAAAAATGAAACGAAATTGTATTATGTATTTTTTAAATTTTTATAAAATAAAAATAATTATTTTATATATAAATTTATTTAAATATATTAAAATTTTATTAAAATAACATATAAAAAATAAATTTTAAAAACTTGTGAAGTAAATCAAACTGATAAAATTTGAATAGAATAAACTAATTTCAAAAAAATCGGTTCAAATTTAAATTGGATTATGCATTATCACTTTTAATCTTTACCCATCCCATTTATTTGTATATCTTTTTTTATTTTCTGTAGTACCTTAGAATAGGTTCGTTTGGCCATTAGATGATGTGTTTACGTAATCTTTTTATTTATGCTTAGAAATCTATCTCAAGTGATGAATCCAACTATTTACAACTGACTTTTTTTGGGGGGATTTTGATATCATTTTGTGATTAGGAGCCAATGTAGTTTTTCCTAGAAAATGCTCGTCCACAATGGGAATTGGGGAAGGAGGGTGGGGTGGAGTGGGACTCGCATCACTGACGAAATGGAGTTCCTTATGAGAAGATGCTGAATCTATGTTTGAGACCTTCGTTTCTTCAACTTCTTACTGCTGAGGCCATCATCGTTTCAGCCTTTGCCCCTGTCTTCAACCCCACCAAAATCCATAGCCAGCTAAGTCACCACATTTATAGGTCTGAGATGATTTTAACTACTTGCTCTCTAAGTCTAACCCACCCTTGCTTGGTCCCCTCCCCCCCTGATCTCCACTCTCCATCTTACCCCTGTGGATCATACATGATTATTAATCATCATTAATTCATCACACACACAAACATAAACCACCGAAAAGAAATCCATCAACCGTGAATTGACTGTCCTCCTAATTCATTTATAGCTCCTCTGCAACAGGTTTTTCTTACTTTTCTTTGCTGAAATATTGAAAACCCCATTTGACTAAAGCTAGTACTTTTAAATACAAGAAATGAAATCCTCTTTAAAACCCTGCTCCGGTGGTTAGACTTACAAGTAATTCACCCTTTTTTTTTCTTCTTTCTCTTCGACACCTGGGAGAAGCTGAACAGGGAAAGCCTAAAGCGCAGTAATATCGACCAAGATTCTGATTGTTAAAAGTTAACATCTACATGAATGGTGGGGTCGTTTAGTTAAGAGTTTAAAAAAAAAAAAAGTAATCAAAGGCAGAGACTGAGAAAAAAAAAAAAAGCGTGCGTAGGAAGGTGGGTTTTGAGGAAAAGTCATGGTCAGTGCATGGGGCTCATTTTCCCAGGTCATCCCCCAAATTAAAGTCAGTAATCATTGCTTTCGCTTATCTTCATCTGCATGGGAAGCCCGTCGCTTTTTCTCTCCCTTCGCTGGTCCTTCCTTTAACAGTCTCTGTTGCTACAATGACACTTCTTCTATGATTAGTATTATATATAATTGAATTATGATCAGTGAAGCTGTTTGACCTTTGTGGATTAAATATATGGGATCCAACGTTATTAATTGTTCTCTCTCGTCAAAACATCCAGAACACTATTTAAAAAAGCTGGGCTCCCTTTAGGTTTTTTGGTCTAAAGTTTCCCAAAATTTAGGTGAGTCATGAATTGTGTTGCAGCGGTCTGGGTCATACAAAAAAGGCCCATTTCATTTGAATTGAGTAAAGATCAAACAAGCTCAAATCAAATTTCAATCTTTTTGCATTGGACCAGCCTTTAGCCCAAGTAGGTCAAGCTATTTTCAATGGTAAATATAAATTAAACAATATATTTACGTTTAGATATAAACCTGCCGTTTCCAGAGTCCAAGAGTCAGCTTCTGAAACGCAAACTCTCCCCTGTTTCATTCAAGTCTCCAATGGCAACTTCCAACGTGAAACAAACTCTGGGCAACCTAAATGAGGAATCTTTTGTGTCACTTCTAACAAAGATCATAGGAGAATCTATGTTCCTTCAAAACAACCCTCCGGAACTGATCCCAGAAGAAGACAGGGTAGTTAAGCATGTGCTAGATTGTCTCCTCCCTTACAGTACAACAACTGGAGCAGGACCTTTGGTTGTTAACCATGTTACTTATTTCCCTGGAAGAGGCAATCTCATTGTGGAGTATCCTGGGACTGAGCCTGGGAAGATCTTGTCTTTCGTTGGGATGCATATGGATGTTGTCACTGCCGATCCCAATGATTGGGTATTGACTCTCTTTTACCTTTCAATCTTTTTTTAATCCAAAACTTGGTTTTTGTTTAAAAGTTTGAATCTTTTATGGCTTTTTAAAGGGATGGTTGTTCTGGCGTTCGGGGTTTTATTTCTTATTTTCTGGGTATGTGTTCTATAGAACAATAATTGGGGTGGTAATTTTTTTTCCTTTTTTTTTAATGTGGGTTTGTGAATTGGTGAATATTAATTTTTTCATTGGTTTGAATTTGGGTTTTCGGACACCAAGATCTGACTGATTGAAATTAGCTTTAGCAACACTCTTTTTTTCTTGGAATGAAGTTAATTTGGTTTGCATTTTCATTTTTTCTTTTTATTTGTTGTTTATGTGGTTGATTTGAATTGGTTTTCCATGCTTAAGGATTGATTAGTTACAGTTCCCATTTTGTCTTCATGGAGAAAAAATAAATATTTCTTGTATAATCACTGTATTTGCACTGCTTTCTACAAATTTTCGTTTTGTATCTCTCTTCTTATTAGTAGGATTGGTGAATCAACCTAGACTTTGTTATGTTGACTTCTGTGGGTAAAACTCAGCTTCTGCAAATGTCATTCACTTATCTTGAAGCTCAACTTTTTTTAATGAATTTAATTTGGTTTTCCACTGAGGACTACTGGTGTCAAGCTCTTTTTAAAATTTGATATGGTTTCTTCAGAATTTTCACCTTCTCGTTATGTTGATGTTACCCCCTCTGCATACACTCTTAGTCAGTAGCAAGTCTAGACACATTGTCAATTGATATTAGCCATTTCAAGTCATTTACAGTTTGATATTAGATTTTGAATTATTTTAGCTAAATTTTGAATTTTTCAGCTGAAATGCATAGATGGTTGTACATCATATGATAACTGTATTTGCAGGATTTTGATCCTTTCTCATTAAGCATTGATGGTGATAAACTTCGTGGCCGTGGAACTACTGATTGTTTGGGACATGTTGCCCTTGTAACTGAACTCATGAGGAGACTTGCTGAGATAAAACCGAAACTAAAATCAACTGTTGTTGCAGTTTTTATAGCCAATGAAGAGAACTCTGCAATAACCGGAGTTGGTGTTGATGCACTGGTGAAAGATGGTCTGCTTGATAAGCTAAAGGGAGGCCCCCTGTGAGTACTTTCATTTCACAAAGAAGAAATGCTGAGTCTTTGTAGCATGAAGCATGTTGGGATGTGATGGTTATGTTAAAAGAATCATTTTTAACATTATTTGTCCTTATGATTTCACAGTTTCTGGATTGATACAGCGGATAAACAACCTTGCATTGGTACTGGTGGTATGATACCCTGGAAACTTCATGTGACGGGGAAGCTTTTTCACAGTGGTTTAGCACACAAGGTATACTTTATTACCACATTTGTTATGTTGTCTATGTAAAGATCATTTCCTGCAAAACCATAAGCTATGGAGTTTAAACCTAAGTCCCTAGGTAGAAGGAAAGATAAGGAACACTGAATGTTAAATCTGAAAATTTTATTTCACCATGAAATATCTTTGATTATAATATATTTAAACTTTGTCTCCAAGCAAATGACTTGTGGCCATAAATTAATTGACTTCTGGAACCAACAATATTATGACCCATAACCCCATAGGTGGATTCACTTCTATACCCAACAAAGTCTCTAAGACATAAAATTGTCTAACTAAAATCAAATAATACCTTATAAAGAAAATAGAAAATCCTAATATAACCTATAAAAAAAGTTGGTGCTTATTTGTTTTTCTGAAAGAATAATAGTCTGTGTTTAACCTTGAGAATCTCTCTATGAAACTTGTGTGCAATTAGAAAATTTTAGCAGACAGATTTTCTGGTTCTTGATGAGAAAAAGGAAAGATAGTCATGTTCTTCCATTCTCCATGTTTTTATTAACTTTGAAGTTGTTCATTACCTGCAGGCTATAAATCCATTGGAGCTAGGCATGGAAGCACTTAAGGAAATCCAGCTACGGTTTTATAAAGACTTTCCACCCCATCTGCAGGAGCAAGTATATGGATTTGCTACACCATCAACCATGAAGCCAACACAATGGAGTTGTAAGTTTTAAACCTTAGATTAGCAAGTTATTCTCAAGAATAAAGTTAGTTCATTAATGAAATTCTTCTTTAATTCAGATCCAGGTGGTGGAATCAATCAAATACCTGGAGAGTGTACAATAGCGGGAGATGTCAGGTTAATTATATTGTCATTTGCAGAGCCTGTTGATATAAAATGTTATCTTACTAAAGCCCTTTTTTTGTGGATTGCAGGTTAACTCCTTTCTACAAGTAAGTAACCCTTCTATTACCCAAAAGATCTCATCAACCTTGGTCTGTTTAATTTTCATTCTTTCAGTAATCTATTGGTGGGAGATTACTGCTTTTTTTCCTAACAAAATTGCTAGTCAATATTTTCTTCTTTGAAATATTATCAAACTCTATTGCAGTGTAAAAGATGTAATGGAGAAGCTACAAGAATATGTAGATGACATAAATGAATATACGGACAAGCTAGACACACGGGGTCCAGTTTCAAAATATATCCTACCTGATGAAAACCTTAGAGGAAGGTATGTCCTTTTTTCCTCTTTCTTTGTAAAACAAACTTGTTCTAGTGTTGTCCATTTATTTTATCTGTTCAAGAAGAATCATCTTTTTGTGCTAGTCTTTCTCATCCATATTTCTTTATATTGTTTTTAAGAAGTTATATGGTACTTTGATTTACAGCCTTACACTGACTTTTGATGAGGCTATGTCTGGAGTTGCTTGTGATCTTGATTCTCTCGGCTTCCATGTATTGTGCAAAGCAACTTTAGAGGCAGTTGGACATGTGAAGCCTTACTCGATTACTGGAAGTTTGCCACTCATTCGGGAGCTGCAAGTGAGATAGATCCCTTTTAGCTGTTCCTTGCCTTCTTTTAAACTGTCATTGGTTGAGGTAATTTTTCCTCATTTTTTGTCAGGATGAAGGTTTTGATGTTCAAACTGCTGGTTACGGTATGACAACATTATTGCATTTGTACATTTTGTATTTAAGTTATCAAAGTCTATTGCAGATGTTTAGCAAGAGCCTTTACATATTAAATTAATGTTTAAGATAATTACAGTTGGATACATGCCAAAGGAGGCCATGCGACCGGATTATGTAGCAAGAAGCTACTATAGTCCCAATTTGCATGGAAAGTGAATCTGTTTGCAGGCAAATGGCGTTACATGGAGGGTTATGGTTAAAAAATAGAGAGATATGGCTCTTTGCTTTTTTTGAATAATAATATTTCTATAGGATGCCATGCCATGATATCTATTGAGTTAGGCTACCTATATAGAGAATTTGGGCTAATTTTTTGTTCTTGTCTTATTCTATTTGCTTTCAGAATTAGCTGGATTCGACTGAACGGAATCATTAAAACTTATATATAGTGTTTTACTGTTGGAACAGATCTGGATTCTTGAATATCTAACATGCTTCATTTTGCAAACATTTTACGTACAGGTTTAATGGCCACGTACCATGCCAAGAATGAGTATTGCCTTCTTTCCGATATGTGCCAAGGCTATCAAGTTTTTACCAGTATCATCTCCCAGTTAGAGGATTGAGACAAAGCATTAGACATTAACTAGCTAAGGATCATATCATAATCATTCCCCCATAAGTGATGCGACATAATCATATGTCATTTGATTAGCTTATATAATAAATGTTACGAGGTAGGCCCCGATCGCACAATGTTTACTGTTTGTTTGTTTAATGTGGATTTTGCTCGTTTGGTTTCTAAAAGCACCCATTTTTATCTATTTCTGTTGTTCTTTCGGCCTTCGGCTGAGTTGTTATGTAAGAAAACTGGCTCAAGATGAAGTTAGCAAGCAGTGGGGCAAGGAGGGAGGTTTCTTTGTCCTTTGAAAATGGAAAAGTGGTCGCCTTCTTTATACAACGTATTTTTACAGTACACAGCAATCCTAATCCATAATGTTTCTACTTTTTCTAGACTCTGTAATTTACAAAATTCCTCCATTCCTCAGTTGTTACTCATCAACAGCTCCTCATAGTTTGTTTGAGTTCTTTCCTTCTGATTCAAGCTGTTGAATTCTCTGGCGTAGCCTACGCCGGTGGTCATGTATCTTCCAAAGACCATGTCCCAATATGACTGCGGAGTATATACCATGTGTGATAATAGGTGCAAGAATATTGTTTGTCTGTCAAAAGTTGCATCAGAATATAAAGAACCCAAATAAGTTAGCTGTTCTTATAAAAAAAATAAATGAGTTGTTGCATCATTTTCAATTGATTCATCAACTACTTTAATAATGTGACATGTTACCTCTATCCATTCAAATCCAAGGTAAAGGGCCAATATTCCTTCCAAAAGGGGTGAGTAGATCTTTTTCATTTGTCTCCTCTCATACCAGGCTGCAGCATGTTTACCAAAAAAAGGATCAGAGATGAATACTTGAATAGAAAATTAGTAGCTGATTACAATTTTAAGTTGCCATGTATGCTTCCCAGAAGGTTTTTTTTGCCTATAACTTCCATGCATACATAAATTATAGGTTATATTAGTTAGATCTATTGGTTCTATGGTGATGCAATCATAATCTGGACAGATTTTGGTGTTTTAACTCTTTATCAATGGTATAGGTCTGGCTCAGGGTCATGAAGACAGATCATCCATTTCAAACCTTACATGAGAAAAATACCATTGAATGAATGATATTTTAGGGCAGAGTGAGCACCTGTGAATAGCTTTTTCAGTTCCTCACGAGCAGAACGAGATCGTTTTACTGGTGCAACTATATAAGTAGGATCTGAAGTTGGGAAAAAGAAAAGTAACAACTAAATAAAAACTGAACTTGAGGATAACTAAAAAGGTTTCTCAAAAAGGGCAGTGACAGAATCTACCTTTGGGAGAGGCAGCCACATAATAAAGAGAACCTGTAAGAGCAGCTGTTATTACAGCTGCAAATGCCTGAGCAAATGGGACAAACGGTGGCAGCACACCAGTCTGCAATTTTGGAGGAACAGAAAGAGTCATTAAATTTATTACCACAGAATAGAAAGTATGATTTCTAGAATAGAATGTATACCAGCGACGCCATTCCTCGAGTATCCGAAACCAACTCAGTGCCTCTAAGGAATATATCAGCCAATGCTCCCTGTTTTTTTCAAACACAAGTGATTCTATTCAGTTGATTGACATTATGAGTAGTATGGAACTGAGAAAAGAAGCTCACAATTCAGATATCAAATATGACAACTTCAACATTAAAATTCAACAAGTATGTTATAGCTTCCTGAGAAGATTATAGCAGAATAATTACACAAGTTTGAGAATACCATATCTCCTGGATGTAAATAATTTTAATAATTTCCGTGTAAGTAATTCAACATTTTACATAATACAATAAAAAGGAAATTTTTCAAGATGACAGACCTGAACAGCAGCCCTGTAGAAAAGCTCCTCTCCGACTGAGCTGGCAGCAACCATAAGTATGAACTGCAAAATTTGTGCAAGGTGAAATCAGTACCTCATTGCTTCAGTACAGATGAAGCATGTGAAAGGGGATATCTAAGCAGCAAACAAGTGTAAGATGATTTACCTGCCAAGGTGACATTCCATAAAAGAAGCTCCTTAATTCCTCATCCTCAACGTCTCTTATTGCACGAGCATGAGGAGATACTTTCACTACTTCATCCTGTGAAAATGCAAGTTCATAACAATATAAGCAACAAATTCAAAAGACACACTTCTGAACATGAAAGTAAACTGAAAATTCATGTATAAATTTGGATTTTATAAACTTAGAAAACTTGATCCGAACTAATTCTACACTCTTTCTAATCATAGACCCAAATCTAGTCTTTCTCAAGATGTGAAGAGCATAAAAAAAGAACATGGTAAACCCTTTTCACCCATAAAACTCATACATAATGAATTTTGTTTACAGTCAAGATTGAATAAGCAATTTGGTACAGAGCCAACTATAAAACTGACAAGCAAACAATGAACATACATCTAATATGAAAAGAAGGGCCATGATCGGAGGAGCTGCATAGCCAAGTCCTTCAAGAATGGCATCTAATGAAGGATGAAAACCTCCCATGCTGTCAATTCCAGTAATTGAGCATATAAACCTCCCAGCTAGAGCCATTGCTCCATATATCCCTAAACAAACATACAAAAAAAAATTAAATAAATAAAAATCCATCCTATTCCATTCTTCATATATGCAGCTTTTATCCTCTTTAAGTACTAATTATTCTGTTTTAAGTAATCATGAATTGCAAAAAAAGGAACTTTCCAACTTTACTTTACTTCCTTGGACCATTTGCTTTAAAAGACTTTCCCTTTTTTTCCCGTTTCTTCCATTTTTAGAATCAAAGGCTAAACAAAAAAAATGGCCTTTTCCGCAAAAGCACTGCTTACTGAAATTCAAAAGGAAAAGAAATAAAAAGTTAAGGCTTTTTACCTATCTTTTCCGCAAACAAAGTTTTTCTTTTTTCAATAAAACCCAAAAACAAAAAGGAAAAGGAAAGTGGGAAATGTTACCGATTCCATAGCTGAGTCTAACAACAGCACCAATCTTATCCCAAACGGGAAAATCCGCAGCTTCACCAAAGCTCCGATCCAGTGATGTCACTTCCATAGCACTTCCACTAAACCTTTCTCTCTCTTTAATCACATTTTCACCACTCCGTTCCACGGATGCCTTCGCGCACCGTACCGGCATGCTCCTCTTCCTCACCCCAAATTCACAAAGCAACTTAACATTCGATGCGGAAGAAGAAACGCAAAATGAACCAAAGTACGACGTCGTTTTCAATGATAGTATCGGAACCTCCATAGACTACCCTTTTCTTTCTGCTTCTCACTTCTTCTTAGTCGTCGTCGTCGTCTACGTCGTTGAAAAATATTGGCCGTACGTGTCCTGTTTGGATATAACAATGAGGGACGATGGATGGTTTTAGAGTGTTTTGTTCTCGACTTCGTGATTACGATCGGACGGTGGGGAAAAACAAGGTGGGCCCCTGGATTTTTTTATTGATGGGGAAAATCTAAGAGGACAAATGTCTTAATGACACGTAGCGATAATGCTCGCCACACTGTGGGTTGCGACATTTTTCTTTTTTATTTATTTATAGTTAACGGTATAAGAAACTGCAAAAAGAAAGTTCACGGAACACTCGAAAAAGAATTATTGAATATATTGATAATGAAAATTTTTTATTTTATAAAAAAAATTAATAAAATTATATATTTAAATATATATGTATTATATTATATAATTTTATTGATGAAATAAAAAATTCTATAACATATCAAATAATTTTTTAAATTAAATAGTGAAATTAGGAAACTATTGGCCAAAAAAGTTAGGAAACTGCTTTCATTGTCTTATTAATGAACACTAAAATAAAGAAAGGGGATGGTTTGGGGTGAGCCGGTCATTGGCAAATTTGTATTATCTTTGTTTTATATTAAACATATATTAAAAACAAAACATTATGTATTATAATTTGTAAAAATTAATCAAATATAAAATATATATTTTATTTTTATTAAATTAATAAATACTTTTAATCAAAATTTTAAATCATTTTAATTTTATATATGTTTTTATATTATTTTTACTTTTTATTGTCGTGTTATTGTTTAAAATTATCATGTATCATAACAACATCACGAGTTTAAATTATTTTTTTATTGGTAAAAACTACGGTTTGGCCATAAAAGAAACAGGCAGCTTGCCCAAAGACACCTTCTGATTGGGCCAAACCAACATCAAGGCAAACTAATCTTAATGATAGTGAAATCAACAATCTGTGGCAGGCCCATCAAGTGCTGGAACTAAGAATGCAATCATATGGACAAAAAAACACATCACATTCTTAAATTTGTTGGCATTGTAGAAGTAACTTTCAAATCTTGTTCCAACGTAACATGGCTGGGACTTGGGATTTTGGGGACGCAAAACTTTATGTTTCGTGCCCAAAATTAGGCCCAACGGTCAACAAAATTGAGGTTCACATTTGATTGGTTTTTGACACGTTTGCTTGTGGACAAAACCTTGGAAGTTTTTGCTTAAACCAATGGGTAATGGGGCATTACATAAGCCGTCGATATCACATTGTCGTGACATTTGTAATATGAATCTCTTACTCCTTTGTAGTTTTGCAGTGTTAAAGTCAAAGAATCCAATGTTTCTGATTCACGACTTTAATCTGCCCCGTTCTGTCTTTTTCGATTTGCCAACTAATTTCTTGCCTTTTTTTGTTATGAGGAAATGGAGATCATTCAATTTCATTGCCCTATGCTTGTTTGGATCTTATAGATTTAGGACCCATTTATTTTTTAAAAGTTTTAATTTATTTTTAAATTTCTTATTATTTACTTGATTAAAAATATATTATGTGTATGAAGCTTTTTAAAATCTTAAATTTTTAAATATCAATTTTAAAAACATACTAATTAAAATTCATCTACATCTAAAATCCATTTTTGAAATCAATATAGGAGAAAGAGGTTAACATTAATCTTTCATAATTTCCTTGGGTTTATCTTTAATTATATATATAGTAAGCCGTAATTTAAAATAAAAAATAAATTTTAAATATTAAAATTTAAAATTTAAAATTTTTTAAAAAATATTATATAAACCAACTGGGACAAAACTTGGATTGTTTTGATCCTCTTTCACCAGACTTATATTGTATTCTCCAGTGAAAGATTACACATAAAAAAAAATGACTCAAAATTAATAGAAAACTTAAATATATGACTCACATGGCACCTTATATTATATTCATTCAAAGATTAAATTGGTAGGTTTGATTATTCTTGTGTTAAAATGAAGCGTAACAGCATTAGTCTCGCTTTTATTTTAATAAATCTAACAATACTTATTGCACTACAAATAAAAATAAAAATAAAGAAAAATTTCAAAGTACACTAAATAATAATAATAATAAAAAATAAAGCGCATAGGACAATGAAAAACTACTAGATATATATTTAATAACGGCAAAACACATGCATGACAACACTAATAAATTTAATTAGGGTTTAATTACTACTAAATGCCCAATATTCCTTTTAAACGTAATTAATTAAAAGGATTTAATTTGAGCACTGATATAAAATGTGACCAAATATGGACTTGGTTGGATTATGAACAAATAAATTATCACCTTCTTAGTTCCGCCGTGTTTTAATGTTTTCCTCTGCATTATTAATTGTCAAAATTTGTAGTTTCCCTTTTGAAAAATCACATATAAAATTAATAATTTATGTTATCGTATCATGTAAAAATTTATATTTATATTATATTTTATACAAAAATTATATATCATTATTCGTATCGATATAAAATTATAAAATATAATTTTTTTTTAATTTTATTAAATTTATTTATGATTTATCTAAAATTTTAAATTATATTATCTTTATATTTTTTATTTATATTATTTTTATATTAGATCACTTATCATCTTTCAAATTATTATATCTAATCACATGTATCTCATTGCTTTATATACTCATAAGAAGTTATGACTATCAAAGACATACATTTATGACTAACGTCTTTGGTTGGCTCTCTCTCCCTCTCAATCTCTTGGATATTTGATAAGATGGGGAATTTTGAATTTAAAATTTTATATATTAATGCTGAAAATATTAATCACTTTAATATTTATAATATGTATCTATACGTATGGTGCATATGTGTCCATCGTCATGTGGTTTTTTTATTTACTCTTAATCTTTTAATTACTGTTTACTTTAATTCATCTAAAAAAAATTACACGTTTAAATTCTCTTAAATTATTAATTTCCAAAATCACCATTCATACTATCTAAGCTAATGGTCAATTAGCATAATTAGGTAGCTTTTTAACTAGAGCTTTGTTTTTTCATGATATTTTCTTTTTGATATTTTACAATTTTATTAACCGATTACATATTGCAAAAAGAAAAAGATGCACGTTATTTACCTTAATATTGGTACTAGCAATTAAAAAATTTGATATTGAAAATGGAATTATCAGTATAATATCCCCTCCGTCTTATAATATTAACCTTTATTGATTTCCATGAAATTTAAATAAAATATTTTAACTTTAGTTTATACAATATTAAATTTAATTTTTTATAAATTTAAAATTTTATAGTTTCTAATGGTAAAAACTAAAAAATTTCATAAAACTAATATAAAATATAAAAAAACATTTAAATGTTAAAAAAATAATTTTAAGATATAAAAAAAAATCTAACATAGAGAAAATATAATGTATCGTCAATTCGAGTATACAAATCAATCAATTGAAATGGTCATAAAAAAACTCATCTTCTTGAAAATTGGACCATCGTGTAACAATCTTCACCTCAAAATCCCCCCCAATTTAACAACAACCATAATCTTTCATAAAAAAAAAAATAAAAAAAACAATCATAATCTTAAAAAAAAAAAAACCCTTAATCAAATCATGAGTTTCAGTGCAAATTTGTAATTGACCATGCATGATCATCCGCATGAGATAAAATAATTAAGATTATATTAAGATTTTATTTATTTATATATATATATATTTTAATTATAATATAAAAATAATTTTAAAATAAAAAATTCGAATCCAATTCATTCAATTAAAGATATGTGTATCTATATATATTCACATTTTTTGTAATATATGAATGTCACGAATATAATTCAGATATACAAAGTAATTATGGTAGCACAACATTTCTTGCATGCCTTTTTTTAATTAAGGTACAATTTTAAGCTAAAATTGGATTCATATTCAATTTTTTGAATTATGCTAAAGGGGAAATTATAAGGCAATTCTTACTTCAACAATGACGTTGTTGGTAAAAATTTGTACCAAATTTCAACGAAAATATAGTTTACATCCTTGGTTAGGAGAAGTAGTGTCAAAAAGAAAAATAATAACTCACATCTCATTATTAAAGATTAGATTAAAGTTTTATAAGGATCATTATTTTTCTATCAAGTTGTCTTTTTCGAAGAAAAAAAACCATAAAAATAGATTTTCAAATCTTGAGATCGACAATATTTCATAATGAAAGCAATTCAATAATTATTAAATAAATTAAAAAAATCAAATCAAAATATTATTACTAATGATTTATTTAGATAAATCATAAGATTAATTTTGATGGGATTAAAAATAATAATTGATATAAAATTAATTATTTTAATGATGAGATTAAAAATAATAATAGATATGAGATTAATTATTTTAACGATAAGATTAAAATAAATGATTAAATATTTATTTGAATAAAAAACAATAATAATAATGACATAAAATTAAAAAAAAACCATTAAAGACTTCATTCTAAAAGTTTACTAAAAATGTATTAATAAATAATTTTTATATATTTTAATATTATTTATAACATTTAAAATTTTATTTTCAAAAAAATAAAAAAATATTAATTTATTATATAATACAACTTATTTATTTTTTAAATTATTATGTAATAATAATTTTTTATTATATTAAATTAAAAAAACATTTCAATATTTTAAATAAAAAATAAAAAAAATAGCGGGAATAATTTTGTTCAATCGCAATAATTTTAAGGGTAAAAATAAAAATTATGGGACAAAACTAAAATCTTTTCACAAATTACAAATTAAACAGGTCAAGTTGGGCGTTGGACTGCTGCTGTTTCCACGTCAAACACGTGTCGCTTTCCCATTGCTCTAGGTAAAATAATATCCTGACTAACCAACACGCACACGGTGCACGTTAGCATCCGCTTCGACCCAACGCGTGGCGTCCCCGACTTCCCCGTTAACCAAGCTGCAATCAAGTGCGGGCAATAACACGCTCTTTGACCACTTGTTTCTCACCACGTGGCAAAACGGTGAAAAATGACGGACGTGCAAGTGTCGAGAAGCGGTAAGCATCTAGAAAATTCTGATCGATGGATTTAAAAGGCTTAGAAAACATAATATCAGGTACGGCCAGTAACACACCGACTTTACTACCAAATAAAAGTTTATTAAAATAAAAAATCTAGCTTCTCCTTATTTAAAGGGTAAGCTAACAAAGAAAATTAAATTGCTTATATTTTTATATATTTTCCCTTCATAGAGAAAGACTGAAGAAGAGAGCAAAGCAAACGTTGGAAAAAAGAGAGGATAGCTGTAAAAGGAAGGCAAGGATAGAAAGTGAGATCCTTTTTGGTGTTAATTACTTAATTTGATTATCTGGGGTCTTATAAATTCTGCTTCTTTGTCTCCTAATCTTTATGCCCTTGTGTTTTTCTGATGCGTTAAGGTTCTTGTCTGGGCTGAGTTTTGTACTTGTGTTCTGGTTTTTCTTAATTTTTGATTGGGGTATGAGAAAAGTGAGGTTTAAGAATGTGGTTGAACTCTATGGGGGTGAAAGCGAGGTTTTAAAGCCAAAGGCATGGAATATTTTTTTATTTGTTCTTTTATTTGTGCGGTTCAATTTTGTTGGTTCAAGAATTGGTGATCATGGCTAATTATTAAAAAGTTAAGGCTTTTTTAGGTTGAGATTATTGAGTTTGGGTTATTACTTTTTGGTTTGGATAAATGAATTTTGATGGTGCTTTTCTTTGATTTGTTTTTAATGTCTGCTTGACATTTTCCTAATGCTGAATAAAGGTGTTTCTTTTAATTCCTTTTTATTTGTTGTTGTCTCTTGTCGAGTGTCAATATTAGTGGTAAAGTTCAAGTGACGAATTATTTAGTTTATGTAAAGATATACATATATATATTATTAGTATAATTGTTAGACGGTTTAGTTCTTGTGTTGCATTGGTTATGGAAAAATAAATGATTGGCTCATTCAATCCACTAAATTGAAGATGATATGGAAATATTTATATCTTTGTTTTTGTTTCTTTCTCTGTTCTTATCACGCGTATTCTTATCGATCAATAGAATGCTTGTCAACTTTTACTGAATTTCTTGTGTTTTGATTATGCACAAGAATGCTCACTTTTGAGTGTAAAGGGAGAGCTTTTGGCGTATTGTGTTAACTTTGTGGCATTAGCATTCTGATTTTCCTAAATTACTGAAAGTTCTTAACATTTTCTTGTTTGATATCTGTAAGGTCACATCAGTGGTGAAAGGAAGTTTCTGTTCAAAAGGGCTTGCTGATGAAGCTGACCGCGCTGCTCCATTGAATATGGTGAGAAATTTGATTTTCCCTTTGCTAAGGACTGGTTTTTTGTGAATTCAGTGGAGATTTTAAGTTTCTCTTTCTGGAGCTTTTTCTGATGCATGGGCACTTTCGAAAGTAATGAAGTATCTGTATTCTATATTCTAAATAGAGTTGGTAATGGTTTTGTCATGACAATTTTTTTCCTTTTCCATTATTATTTAATATAATATATTGAAAATGTGGAAACACATCATATGTGGTTTTCTATTTATTCTAAATATGTTAACCCCATAATTCAATATTATTTTCCTTTATACCATTAAATAAAACACATGGAAAAAGTAGAAAAATTCCTTAGTTTCACCTTTATTATAATTCTATGCAACCATGATATTGCTTTGTTAATTTTGTTTGATTCTTGTTAATCTTGCTCTCACAGTCTTGCTTCTTGAGCGTTAAAGTTTTGCTATGTTATATTGTTTTCTTTGTACCAGTTTTTTCTTTCTTGGTCGTGATTCTCTATTGCATATCAGGGATCATTTAATGCTGAAAATGGATTTGGTGGTGCCCAATTCTAAAGCGGTAAATTAAGTTTAAAAGAAGAATCTGGGACATGCAGCGTGTGTGCTCCTTCATGCTCTCCATGTGTGCATTCTGAACAAATAGCATCAATGACAACAAAGACAGATGGATTTTCAGATGAGGCCGGTCAAGAAAAGGATAGTAACCATTGCTCTTTTAATGATGCTGATTTGTCATCTCCTTGGGTAAATAATGCATGCAAAGATAGACATCATGCAAGCAGTGAGACAAGCCCCCCTCTCAGTGCATGTTTGAGTCATGAATCCTTCTCTGAAAATGCAGAGAGTGAAGAAACATTGAGGGATTGTAACATCTCTAAAGACATTAAGATGATTACAAAACCAAACCTGCTTCAAACTTGTGCAAGTAATTGCAGTTCAATGAAAGCACCGATCTTTCATGATAAGGTCGTCTTAACTCAGCTTGAGCAGCAAGAGTCGGACTGCCTTGGAGATAACATCTCCTTTATTTTTGGATCAGACTACGTGAAGACAAGGGCTGGTGGCCATAACGGTGATGGAGACAAGAAACATACATCATATAGCTTGGCTTCAGTTGATAGCTTCTCTGAGACTGAAAAGGCAGTTAATGGTCAACCTGCTTCTTGTTGTTTAGTTAGTAGTCGTTGTGACAAGGTTGATGATAATCATCCAAAGAGGCCAAATAGATGTTCTAATGAGTCCTATCAGGAGATTTTGTGTTGTTCAAACAAATCTGACTTTTCAGAAGCTTCATCCTTACGAGATTCCGGTGCCAGTGCTAGAAAGGTGTTCTTGATTCTTGAAATTCATTCTCTTTCATATGGTGTATATGTATACATGTCTGTGTGTATTGTCCTGAAGTTGCTTAGAATTTGAAACTAAAATTTAATCTTAATTTCCAGGGAGAACTTTCTGAGTGGTCTGACGAACATGTCCAATCATCTTTCGCAAGAGCAGATGCCTTACAGTTTGGCAGGCAGATTGGTGATGAGCATAATAACTCTGCTGAATCTATGCAAGCTGATACTGGAATCAATGGAAGAGAGCAAACTGCTGAAGTCAAGTCCACTACAGTGGTTAAGGAAGATAATATGGAGGAAACTACTATTGGATCACGGACAGCTGCTTGTAGTGACGGATCAGACAGCGCAGAGTATGAAGTATGTATTGAGTTATTCCTGTTACTTCTTATGTTATGCATGTTTACACTAAGGCCTTGACATCGCTAAAACTAGTCTAATTAAACTTCTAGTTGGGTAGAAAAAGATAATGTAGAGTGCTTTGAATGGTGCCAACAAGTTTATTTTGGCTTGATCAAGAATGAAATAAAATCTATTATGAATGTGGCCTCTTTGATACCTACTTCTGATTCAAAGAATAGTTACTTGAGGAAAATTTTCATGAGTTTCTAATTATGCATGAATTACAATGATGGTACACCTTCAAAATGTTGCTTCTCATATCTTATGGCCATGAGACCCTTGCAAATGAACTTTTTATTTTATTTTCTGGCATTATTTTCTCTGCTCAATAAATTAGGATATTAATTGTTGTCTCTGGATGGATAAACAGGTAAAAGTTTGTGATATATGCGGTGACATAGGAAGAGAGGAGTTGCTTGCTGTTTGTAGCAAATGCAATGATGGGGCAGAACACATGTAGGTCTCGTGTCTCTGTCTCTGTCTCTCTCATGCATGCATGTACACCTTTTTCATATTTATACACTTCAAAGTTTACTGTGCTTGTGTTTTATAGCATCTTCCTTTTCCTGTGGGATACTGAAATGTTGACGTTCTATTTCCATGAACCAGTTATTGCATGCGTGTAAAGATGGACAATGTTCCCAAAAGTGATTGGATGTGTGAGGAATGCCTGCCCAGTGAAGAAACTGAGAAGCAAAAACAAGACAAATTAGAGGAAGGAGTTAGGATTTTGAAAAAATCATATACTTTAGAATCAAAAAACAAAGGATTGGACATTGAGGAAAGAAAAGCATATAAAGTTAGTTCAACGCCTTTGTTCTCTAAGAGGCCTGCTGGCAGTTTACAAGCAGTTAGAAAAAGGCATTTTGAAACAGCTTTGAAATCACCTACCCCATCAAGTTCCAGTGGCAAAACTGCAAAGCATCATTCTGGAGGCCACTCTTCTAGCACTTCTATGAAAACTGTGCACCTTCCTACTGAATCAAGTAGTAAATCACCTAAATTGTCATCGCAATCTCGTGTTTCAAAGGGTATACTTATCAAACACCTTAATGACAGAAGTGTGCGTTATTAATTAAAATGTCAACATAAAATTCTCATTGACTAACTGAATAAGTTTTATTCTGGCATTGCAGGATTTCTTTTTAAGTCAAAATCATTCTCTGCTATGAGCTTACAAGAGGATGTCCAACCACTCAAGGAAGGTAGTTGGTGCAATGAAGGATTTGCTAAAGAAAATGCTGCCAGTAAGAGCAGGGGGAGAGTTCAAATGATGTCTAAATCTATGTCAATGAAGAATATGAAGTCATATGGTGTGAATAATGGTAATCATGACGTTGAATTACTTCCTGATTTTTCGTGTGGTGAGGATTTGAAGAGATCGAAGCATGCAAACAGACATCATTCAACCAAGACAGAAAATAAATTGAGATTAGCAAACTGTGAATTGTTTGCATCAATGGCTGATAAAAGAATTGCATCTCCTGGCAAAATTAGTTTGCCACACTCTTCCAGTTCCTCTTATAATGATCTAATGACTGTGAAAGGTCTTGAAATATCTGATAATTCAGTGAAAATATCTGGTCACTCTGTGCAAAGAGATTCTGCAAATGAAGAGAAAAAGAGAGCTGTCAATGTGAGGCAGCATGTTGAGTGCTCTAAACAAGTAGTGCCTGGTACGGGTGCAAAGCATTCAAATGCCAGTGTCAATTCTGATGAACGGCCTTGCCTGAGAGATTTGTCAATGTTTGCTTCTGAAGTAATTACGCCGCCTTGGATTTTGGCTGTTCCACAGCTTGATAATACTTGGCAGTATGGTTTTTTGTTCCTTTCTTTCTGTTTGTTTTGAATTTTGTCAGCAATTCTTCATCTTACTGTTTCACTGCTCAACTTTTCAATGCAATACCTTTTGACATATCTTGCAGTGGCAAGTTTGAAATTCAAAGGACTGGAGGACTTCCATTAACTTGTGATGGAATGCAAGCACACTCATCAACTTGTGCCTCGCATAAAGTTCTTGAAGTAGTGCAAAAACTGCCTCAAAAACTATTGTTGGAGGAAGCTCCGCGGTTGAGCATGTGGCCCACTCAATTCTTGAAAAGTCATGCCACTGAAGATAATATTGCACTATACTTTTTTGCGAAAGACCTTGACCGGTTTGTGAAAATATTTCTTTGTGTAGAAGAGCTATTTTTCTTCCATATAACTTAGTTTTTTACATTTGTCTTTTGCAGTTATGAAAGAAGCTATAAGAACTTGTTGGATAGAATGGTTAAGAATGATTTCAGCCTCAAAGGGAACTTTGGTGGGGTTGAGCTTTTAATATTCTCTTCTAACCTACTTCCAGAAAAATCACGGCGTAAGAATTTAATTTTTACATTTAAAATTCATCCACAAAAGCAAAATGAAATTTACATTACAGTTCTTGGCTGAATCTTAAAAAGTTTCAATATTGCAGGTTGGAATAACTTGCTGTTTTTATGGGGTGTATTTAGAGGAAAGAGGACTCATTGCTCAGGACAGATTCCAGCCATGTCTGCTTCTGAGATTTTGCCCCCCTGTGGAAAGTTAAGTCAAAGTATATCTGCATCCTTGGAATCTTGTAATACCCAACAAACATTAAACTCCGGTACTTTTCATGACTCAAAGGCAGTTACTTCTGGAAGAATTGTTGAAGTTTATGAAATCAAAGCATCTTCTTGCGAACAGAAACCCGCCAATTTACAAACAAGTTGTAGCGAACAAGTAGGCAGGGTTGACTTATCTCAGGTAAATTTTTTGCTTCTACTTGTTTGTTGATATCTGGCCATTAAAAAGAGAAAAAGAGGTAGAGAGGAAGAGAGAGGAGACAGTGAGGTTTGTCTCCTTGAATTTATTCCCTGGTCCAAAAGTGGTTCCCCAAGTCTGTCTTTTTCAGACGCATTAAGAAGCCTTTCATAAGAAAGTTAGGAGTAATTACCTGTGCACAGAATATATGAAATGGTTTCAAGCAATGAGTAGCTTGTGCAATTGTATTTTTTATTTCGATGTACAATGCTGTCACACTGATGAGACATTTGGTTGCTTTTGCTCTATTCGTTTCTTCGGTACCCAATAATTTTTTATGTATGTTTTTGTTTTGATAACTAGAGAGCAGCTACTTATGATGTAATGTTTCCTGCAGAGAGAAGAAAGAGAGTTGAAGAAAAGACCTGAAATTGATCTTAACTATTCTCTTCAAGAAAGCCAAGACTATTCTGCAGATTGTGCGGATGCTGATGGAAGAGATGACTGCAAGAGGCTGAAGAGTTGTTTTAGTGGAATGAACATAGATAATAATAGCATTAAAGATATAAATGATAGATGTTCCATCGCTATAAATGGAAAAGGTCCTAGCATTTGTGGGGAGTTTAAGTGCGATGGAGCTTTTGATATGTCAGTAGTTTCTCCTGCATTAGATTCGGTAGGTAATAAGCATAGCTGGAAGTCCTTGCAGCGGCAAGCTCTTTCAAATGGCAGTGTGAAGAATCAACCAGATTCCAGTGTTTCAAGTCTTGCCCTTATGCTTGGGGTTGGAAGGAGTTCGGCAGATGAGAGAAATATGCCGCCATTTTCCATGCTGATGGGCAATAAAGATTTACAAGATCAGAACTCTGAAAGAGAAACAAGTGATGACACTAATCCTTCACTTGCACTTACCCTTGCATTGCCACGTCCTAAAACGGGCGGCAGAGCATTGAAACTTGATTCAGAAATGAAGTTAATCAAGTGGCCAGAGGTGAATACTACATTGTCTCTTTTTGGTCTATCTGCAGACTCTTAGGTTTTAGAATAATAGAGCTCAGACAGTGATTTCCAAACATTGTATATATAGGATGATAGTTTCCAAACTTTACTATGAAAATCATACACACAAGCTTTCTCACCAACTTATGAATAATAGTTAAAACTGTCAAATAAATTGTGGATTTTGCTATATTTATTTATATATTTACGATTACCCTCTAATTATTTATAGAATTGGTTTAAAGATTAGTAAAATTAGGAGCAAGTATAATGACTGTTTATGATAATTTGATCTGACCGCAGATGATATATTGGACTCTAAAATTTGATCATTAATATGGTAATCAGACTAATGGGAAAAATAGTTGAACAAAAATTATATCTTCAAAACGATGAAAACAAAAAACTTTTACACACAAACATTTCATGCCCAAGGGACGGAGGGAAATGGAAACTTTAATCCCTAAAGGAATGGGTGCAACCATTCATTCATTTATAGCAGAGGAACGACAGATTGGGCAAGCCAATTGATGATTTAAAAGCCACTTATCAATGCATCCCAAATGAAAAATGTGCTTGCAAGTAGGCAGAATTCTACAAACATCACCACTCACAAACTCTTCCAAGCAAATCACACATTCTTCTGCTGTATCATTCATTTTCTCTGATATCTACTACCATAACTTTCAGGCTCCGGAAGGCTCCTTATCACCCCTTTCCTCTTATCATTTCCAGGCTGAGGCTGCTGCTGCTGTTGATTACGCGGACGAAGAGCTCCCAATGCCTCGTGTATTCTCAAAAGGGTTTGACTCTCACTGCCAACTGCTCTTTCCACTATTTCTCCAGCATCTAAACCTTCTGTTCCTCTTTCAGGATCACTTGTTGTCCTATTTCGAGCTATGTCACGGCTTATTGAGCATATTAATATTTCATAGAACAAAAATAAGAGTGCCGAAAGAAAGGTAATGAATAAGAGAACGAGTAATGCTACTTCCATAGCGCGAATGTAGTTAGATTCCATCAAGTTCTGAAGAAGATTATAGGTAGACAAATTTCAATTCTCCGAAGAAAAATGGACTGTAAAAGAATCATTGTCATTCATTAATCTTATATGCTTTCTTTAGATCATATGCTTTGAAAAGGATTTTGTTATAACTATTGAGTGAACTTGCATCAAAGCAGTGCCGCACAAAATATTAAACCAGTTGCAATCAATCAAGTTAGCTTCCCAAATTTAGGGCTTTGGTGGCAGGTCAAAATGGATGAAATTAAGGTCTGTTTGTACTTGATAGAATGGAAATTGGCACAGACCATTACAGTGTAAATCTAAAAGAAACGAATTGAGTAACAACGAGGGAAGCTGTTGAAGCTGCAAGACGCATTATCAACTTGTAATTTGTTTCCTGTGCTTACCCAACTAAGATGGAGAAGGCATAACATCGTTATATATAGGCAGAGAACTGCAACAAAGGTTGCAATTATAACAACCCACGATTCAATTAGATTCATTTTTTTTTCCCAAAATGAAAGATGATGAGATTCAATTGAATTTTAAGTTAAAGTCGATAACTTTTGTTAATTACAATAAATTGGTTAGAAAAAGATTTCTTTTTTCATAATGAAAAAAAAATGTAGATTAATTCTAATGCAAATTAATGTAATAATAAGCCATGAAATACAGTCTTAATTATATGATAATATTTAAAAATAATTAGCTGTGAATAATGGACCATTCTTTGCTCAAAACTAGGGAGTTTGATAAATTAGTCTAAATGCCATCAACTCTACATCAAAATATGGAATTAGACAATTCAAACTCAAAGTTCTAATTTTCAGAAAATGAAATCAAAATTTAATTCTTTATATAGAAAATTCATCCCAAAGTGAAAATAGTAAAACCAAAAAAAAAAAAAATCATGAAATTGCTTTTCATGCTGGGCTGAAACAGGTCAACTTGATGAGTCGAAAGGCCAATTCCTATATAATAGGTAGGTACTACGGCGAAGTGACAATGTTGAGTTTGTAGGTGATAGGATTGCATCGTAGCCATCACCCCTTTTTTTTTGGGGTGGGGAACGAAATGAAATGAAATGAAGACCTCTCTTTCAGCTTAATATCTACTGCCATGGGCCACTGCTTATAAATATACGGGAGCTAGACCATAAAGGGACTGACCGGAAGTTCTTGGACTCTGCTTGTGAATCCACGATTCTGTCCACATCTCAACACCGAAAGAAACAATCCCATCATGACCACATTCTTTCTGTTTTAGTTTCTTTGTGTGAAATCCACTCTCCACCGGTGTGGTTGGTCGTTCCTTTGCCCTTCAAGTCCCTAACCCAACTACTCTATGGTGGCTCTCAGTCCTATCCAAAGGTTCGTTTCACGTTTTTGTTTTATTCCCTATATTCTTCCATTAATCTCATACGGACATGATTAAATGAATTGTTGTAGTATAAAATATTAATAATTTATGTATTTATATTCATAAAAAAATATAAAATATATTTTTTAATTTTATTTAATTAATATATAATTTTTATTAAAATTTTAAATTATATTATTTTTTTATTTTTTATTTTTATCATACGATATGGTATGATTTTAGATTGACAGTTGTATTAAAAAAAAAACCTATTACAAAATGCCTCACCAAACACACCCCTTAAAAAGGATCTTTTTGTAGGAAATGCTGTGTCACTTTCTGGTAGTACTTTGCTCTGTATCTCTTTTCTGGTTTACAGTGAACTTTACAGAAACATTTTTTTTATCTGATTAATGGGTTTTTTTTTATTTTTTTAATCAGATTTAATCACTCGAGTTGTGACTTAATTCTCTCTCGGATTCGATTCTTTTTCATTGTGTTGCTTTTTCAAGGTATGATTCCTTGTTCTTGTCGAATGTGGAATGTAAATGCAACAGTCATTTGGTTTTCTGGTAACCCTGTTTTAGTATTTCATATATTTTGCCTACACTCGTTTAAGTTCCGGTTTTTAACTCGATTGTGTCTGAATTTCATCCATTTGTCATAAGTTTTTTTTTTTTTGAAATTACAATTTTTTGGGAACTGTCCCTTGTTTCGAAACTTTGATTGAAATGCGTGATTTTATGTTTTAATATAAAACCCCAGTCCAAAAATGGTGTAACAGATTAAGCTTTGTGCTTCAAGTAGAAGTCAGTAAGACCCCAAGTTTGTGTATTTATGGATTTTTTGGTGCACTTTGCTTCAAAAGGATGTCCTCTGAGGACGTATATTTGATTCTGTTTTGTTTTTGTCTAGTGATGAAGATCGATATCGATGACTTACAACTTGCTCTTAGAATTATTCTTTTGCAAGATTTTTTATCAATCAAGCAATAACTTGCCAATCACAAACAAGTCTGTTAGGATTTGAGTCACTATTCCCAACAATTTAATCTCACTGCCTTTGTTTTCTTCAAGCAGTTCCCATGTCTAAAGTTGCTATACTATCAGCTATAGTCAAATCTTAGCTCAAATGAGTTGTCTTCTCTGTTGCTCAAGTTTAAGATGAAGAATGACTTTTGAAATTTGATTATGTACTAATTTATTAGCTTAAGCTGTTCACCGACTGCTAATTATTCATTTTCCCTTATCTTCATTTCACTTAGAAGTCATGTGTCACTAATGTTTTAATCTACCTCCCTTGGACCCTTGCTGTAGAGTAAATCTGATTTCCTTACCAGAAATATGCATATTGGCTTGTGCTTTTGCTTTATATCTGCCAATGAGAACCAAAACGTACGTTGTTCTATTTTAAGCGATGGGTCTCCGTTACGGTGGTCCAAAGGGTTTCAAGTAAGAGATTATCTATAGGTTTATTCTCCTCCATATAGACATAAGATGTTGTACAAGAGACAGGTTTGTGAATCTGTCCCTTTTATTAATGAGAATGATGTTAACCTGGAGCAAATCCGGTTGTACTTGTTCTTAAGGACAAAAAACTGTGAAAAGTAGTGGAAGCATTGGTTGGTGAATGAATATTCTATCCATATATGTCAAACATGGTGTTCTTGTTTCAAAAGCCTGCATATCGTCTTTTGAATAAGCTATTTTAATGCAGATGATGTTCCATTTACAAGTCAGTACCTCCCCTAACAGTTATTCCTCCCGTCAAAATATTATAATACTAGGAGGGATAATAGAAGGCAACACCCCTTGTTTGGTGATATTATAATTGAAGCATTCAACTTAAAAATAAGTCAGTAATGCACGGTTTTATTGAAAACTATTTCCCTTGATGTTGTTTGTTGTAAACTTGAAGCTCAAGTGAAGATGTTATATCTCAAGGTTATTTGTCATTGAGTTTTAATTCAATTATTAGGGGAAAAACACCTTCCCATTTAATGTATTAGATGCCACTTCAGTAAATTAACTGTTTTCCTACATGCTTAACTGCTGCAGATGGGAGATTTGGCTAAGGACTTGACGTCTGGAACTGTTGGAGGAGCAGCACAGTTGGTAGTTGGCCACCCTTTTGATACCATCAAGGTTAAGCTTCAAAGCCAGCCAGCTCCACTCCCTGGGCAACCACCCAAGTATGCTGGTGCTATGGATGCAGTCAAGCAAACTATAGCTGCTGAAGGCCCAAGGGGTTTGTTTAAGGGTATGGGGGCGCCGCTGGCCACTGTGGCAGCCTTTAATGCTGTCCTCTTTTCAGTGAGAGGGCAAATGGAGGCATTGTTGAGATCAGAGCCTGGTGCCCCCCTCACAGTTAGCCAGCAGGTCGTTTGTGGGGCTGGGGCTGGAGTTGCTGTTTCATTCTTAGCTTGCCCCACTGAATTGATCAAATGCAGGTCGGCATCATGGCTTTTCCTATTCTATTTTGCTATCAATTTATAGTTATAGTGTCATATGATCTCTTTTTTTTTTTTTTTTTTGACATTTTCCAGTAAAGTCTTGACATCTTTTGACAACCTGGATGTCTTGAGCGCTAATGGGTTTTTTTAAATAATTTTCCCGTCATTTGGATGGGATAACTAGTAACTCATAAAGCCCTCGAAACTCATATTTATTTCTTGGGTCTTATGGTGCAAGCAGATTGCAAGCCCAGAGTGCATTGGCAGATTCTGGCTCAGTTGGTGTAGCGATGAAGCATGGAGGGCCGATGGATGTAGCCTGGCATGTTCTCCGGTCAGAAGGTGGCGTAAGGGGTCTCTTCAAGGGAATGGTTCCCACCTTGGCACGTGAGGTTCCTGGAAATGCTGTTCTGTTTGGTGTGTATGAAGCACTGAAGCAGTACATGGCAGGAGGGTCGGACACTTCTAAGCTAGGAAGAGGCTCTTTGATGGTTGCTGGAGGCTTGGGTGGAGCTGCATTCTGGTTGTTTGTCTACCCAACAGATGTTGTCAAGAGTGTGATCCAAGTAGATGATTACAAATATCCCAAATACAAGGGCTCCATAAATGCCTTTAGGAGGATATTAGCTTCAGAGGGGGTGAAAGGACTTTACAGAGGCTTCGGCCCTGCAATGGTACGTAGTGTCCCTGCAAATGCAGCATGCTTCTTGGCATACGAAGTGACAAGGTCTAGTTTGGGCTAATCAATTGATGTTGCACTCTGATTCCTTACCAAGTATGGTTAAAAGTTTCCCATTGTTATCATATTTTGCTTTAAGCAAAAGCCATTTTCTGTGTCAATAAATTATGCCTTTGGAACGAAGTATTGGCAATATAGTGGCAATAAATTACCCATTTTTTTTCTTTTATCAACGTACTTATGAATTATGAGATTAAGAGCTAATTTGTTATCTATGAATTAATATTAAATTTTATTAATTTTTTATTATAAAATACGTAGAATTGATAATATTTTGCATTCTTATTAAAAGAATATTTATTAAAATAGTTTCGAGCACGATGTATGGTTTCGTGCATGGTTTCGAGCACGATGGTAGGATCTGGACCTTCGTTTTGCAATCGTACGTTGTCGATGTTCCGGAAAGGAATACAGAGGAAGAAACGCGGCTGTTTGCTGATATCGTCGTCAAGTTGAACTTGCAAAAGCTGGCGTCCGTCGCAGAAGGGTTAGCGCTTGATGATGACGGTAATAAATCACAGATGATATGAAAAAGAACACAAAAAAGAAAAGCGAAAAAACTTGTCTCTTTCTTTTTTCTTTTTTATTTTTGGAATTTTGTCATTATTTTTTTAAAATTTTTCTGATTTTAAGTTTTTAACGTTCTTGGGTTTTTTACATAAATGTTTTCGGTTGAACCAATATTATTGCATTCCGTTTTAAATTTTTTATTTTCTTTTCCATTTTTTGTGGCTTCATTTTTTTTTTTTTTGGTTAAACTTTAATAAGCACATTAAATGTTGTGTAAAGTGGGGGATTAAAGGATCAATGGTTAGCTAAGAATCTCTACTTTGAGAGCTTTTTTTCTTTTTTTTGTTTTGCTTTTGTTTTCTCAAATGTTATTAACTAAGATGAAAGCTGTTTTATCATTATCTTTAAGAACATTTGATATGTCATTAAAATTAATATTTTGAGGTTACAAATTTAAAAGAATTTTGTTCGTAATATTTTTTTTAATTAAGTAAATAGTAAGATAAAAAAATTTAAAAATAAATTACAAATTAAAGAAAAAAAGAGCGAAGGATGTCTTATATATGCGTCAGCTCCCTCCATCCAATCGCCTTTTTTTTTTTTTTAGTTTATGCTTGAGACTTTCCATTTCAAAATCTCAAGAATCTAATTTGTGATAATATCTTTCAAAACTATTCACAATATGTAACATTATAACCTATATTTATAACTATATATAGTTTCTATTGTTAATTAAAAATTATGTAATGTTTATTCTTCTGATTTTATTATCAAAAGATCAAAAAAGGTATGATAATATATAATATAATGTCAAGAATGCCCTTTATAATTTTTTGAAGTTGTTAGAAAATGATTAATTTCGAGGGAGATTTAAGTATGCATGTAATATTAATCTCAAAGAATATATGTCAAACCTTTTTTTTTTTTTAAATATCCAATAACCCCTTGTATTGGAAGGATGGATTGATCTCATAGTAACTCTAAAACATGATTATATGTTGATGGCCATATCTAACTTTAGACGATGATCAAAACTTTGTGATCACAAATGATCACAAACTTGCAGTATTCTCTGTCCAAGTTTTTGCACATTGGGCCATTGCTGTCCATTGCCCTGACCCGAGTTTGGGAGCTTTGGCCCGATTTATGTCCCAAGTGCACCAAGCTCAAAGGGGAAAAATGAATATGGCAATGCTTTCAGTGAGGGAGGTCGTTCATGGTTCATTGCTTCCCTTCTTCACATGGTTCAACAGATTTCTAACAATCCAAGCAAAGCCGTAGGGTAGGCACATATTCTTCGATGCTATCAGGACTACAAAGAAAGCTTGTTCAATCTTCATTCTTTATAACAAAAAATGGATCCTCAAGTTACTAGACTCCATTTGGAACACATTTATGTTGAGATGTATTAGGTCCTCAATACTAAACAACACCATTTCAAGCAATTTCTAACTAAACGATGCATCACCCTTGGACGTTGGAACCCTAGTATAAAGTATGATGTTTAAACCACAATTTCACTCTGTATTTTGGTTGTGATCATGATTAACAAAATAACGGATTCAGAATTTTTTTCAAGAGTGTCTACTTATAATATATATATATATATATATATATATATCATATAATATAATATAACATAATATAAAATTCTGTATATGTTCTCATGTATATCATCAGCTTATCGCATCCTAAATTCTTTTTTGGATAAATCATTCCATGGGTCCACGCTCGTTCTCTGTTTCACCATTTTAAGAAATTTGTTCATTCAATGGAACCGTGTAGGTTTATATATGGTAATTAGGTCAATACATGAGATTTAGAGACACATAAATCAAGCACTTGGAGCAAATTAAGGCTTTATATTTGTTGGTAAACGCTATAAATTTTGCTTTTGCTGAATTGCTATGCAAAAGTAAGTAGTTTGAAATAGTCTTTTGGGTAATCGAAGGCAAGATTTTATTAGAAAATGGTTTACAAATAAGCAATTCAACACCGTTGCAACGAAAAATCAAACATCTAGAGCAAACTTTGAGATAGTCTGACTCTAAAAACATGGGCCTTCATTTTGAATAACTTGAAAAAATAAATAATGAAGAGTTAATGCTTGAATATTTTATTCCCACATGCCACTCAATTGAACAAGAAATTAACTAAAACTAATAAGGATTTAATCCACAACATCACAACTACACAAGAATTTTCAACTAGATTGCCTAACTATATAATTTTTTTATGCCCGTGATCCTACCTCCTTGCAAGTTACAGCTCCTGTCCAGATGTCCAACTGAGTTATGTAATCTTCACTATTTCCTAAGTAAAACTTGTCCAAGAATACAAAAACATTGCAGCTGTTACAAAGCCTAAGCACAAACAACTTGTGAAATGGTATGGACATGACAAAAGAAAATAGAACTTTAAGAAGACCCTTACGCCAGCAGTGTACATTATATTTTCACAATTGAACCTCCATGCGAAGGAGATGATCCTGCTTGAGGAAGGTCCTGGTTCCTCAACAAGCACAGAACTGATGAGAACAACAATGCAATATCTTGAACTATTGATCCCTCCATCTTGGACTTGGGAAGGGAAAGAAACCAGAAGGTGACAATGGGAACACAAGACCAGGGGAAGGCGGAGGGTGAGGCCCTGGACCTAAAATCCCTGATTGACCCATGGGTGAAAAAGCAAAATTGGGAGTCATTGGAGGAAATTGAAACCCAGGAGACAGCCAAGGGTAAGGGGAGCGGGGGGACAACAAATTCATGTAACCAGTAGGTAATGGCAAATGGAACTGAGAAGTTGGTGAGGGTAAATGGGCAGGACCATTCATCCCTGGTGATGGAAGATAAGGCATTTGTGGAACAGGACCATTCATTCCCGGAGAAGGAAGATTAGGCATCGGTGGTACAGGACCATTTACTCCTTTTAGGGAAGGGAGAGCTGATATTTGTGGATTAGGAAGTAAACCAGAAGATGGTGGTGGAGGCTGAGGTTGACCTGTAACGGGGGGGTGTAGTTGAGGTTGAACTTGGTTTCCAACTGGACTTGGATCTATAAGAGAAGTCTGTAGGTATCGTATATAAGCTGAGATAGGAGATTCAGCTGTGTTTGCCCAAACAGCATCTCCGGGTATCATAGGTTGTAACATTGTAGGTGATGGTTGTCCATATTGACCAGGTCTAACAAAGCTATTGTTATAAGAAACAGGAGGGGGAACTGTGGCTGGTGCATGAGCAGGGGCAGGGACCGGAACTGGAGGTGGAATATGGGGTCGATTGATTGGCGCCAATGGTGGAGGCCTAATTTTCTGCAACCTCAAACTTTGGGGTTTTGGAGAATTCTGTGGGGGTCTGGGCAAAGGATCTGGTGAAGGCGAACCAGTGAGCTGCTGAACAATGTTCCTGAAATCATTTTTGCTTATATTGTAAACCTGAGGCTGAGGCTGCTGCCTAGCTGCATTATTAGCAAAATTAGGTTGATGCAATGGGCTCTTCTTTATATTCTTTCCAATCTTGTTCACACCGAGATGATCATTATGCCGATTCCTCGAATTATCCATTTCAAAAAACTAAACTCCAAAATGAACCACAACAAACTAATCTCAGTTTTTCCAAACACCCACAAAGTCAAACCATTCAAAAGCTTCAACAGGAAATCCCAGAACCTCAAAATCCAAGCTCATACAGCAGCTAGCAAATATTTCACAACAGCAACCTAAAGCATTCAAATAGGCTGCAAAAAACCAGTCCACAAACCAGTATTGATTTTCTCTAGATATCTAAAAGGCAGTAGTAACTCAAAATCTTCAAACTTTGTGCTCCAAGCTCATACAACCAATATTCTTCACAGTAATATAACAGAACAAATCAACCTCCACCAAAAACTACCAAAACCAAACTCAAAAACTGATAGACAATAAGAAAAAGAGCAACCTTTTCTTCCAACCCAAAACCCCTAAAGTCTAAATTCTTCAAATTTGTCCCTCAGAACTGCCCAACCTCAGCTTCCTGCATCATATATGTAAAAAATCAAAAACCAACCAACCTACCAAAATTTCCACTCAAAAAGGTAATCCCAGATGACTACAACAAAGATCAAACATTTGAAAAATAATTAGCTCCAAAAAATAAATGCCCAAATCATAAAATTCCATCAATTTTCAAGAACAAGATCAACAAACACAAAAAAACTATCCAGGTAAAAATTAAAAAAAAACAAGCAATGAAAATAAAAGTGAGTAAAAAAAGAAACAAACGAATGAAAAGTTACCGGATTTGCATTTTTAAGGTTCCCCTGAAGATCCTCTTCGTCTTTCTAGAATGAGAACAACAGAAAAGAAACGGAAAATCGAAGGAAGAAAAAGGAAAGTATACCCTAGCTCTAGCCCGTGGGTCAACTTCATTTTTTGGATAATTTTTCCCCTTAAAATAAAAAAAAAAATCGAGTTTTTCTTTTTCCTGTATTGTGCTGCGGGCCCAAATTTGGGTCCATAAATTAGTGACGACAATGTTTCGTGGTAAAAGCAGGAGATTAGCGGCGATGTTTATATTTCATACTATCTTAACTTTTTAGTTACAGTTTGTAGTGGTGTGGAGGTTTTTCGAACAGCGGATGCTTTAAATTCTTTATTTTGACACCTCACATTGTTTATTTAACTATTTAATGATTTTTTTATTTAAATTTGTTCGAATTTAAATTATAATCATTCAAATTAAAAATCAAGCAATTTGCAATATGTTAACGACTACTATGTGATTTCATAAATGATGATAAATTTTTTGTTGTTCCAATAAATCCTAAACAATATGTAGCATTAATCCTACAATAATTTTTAAAATGACATAATCATTCATCTTTTGAAGATAAACAATGCTTTTAAAGCACTTAGTAACAAAATCTTTTTAAGATAAAATGAATAATAAATAATATTTCAAGCTTTCATAATGTTTGGGTTATGATTTTCAAAAGTAATTTTATTTTTTGTGAATTAAGAAATAATTATATTTTTTTGTAATATATAATCAAAGGTATTTTCAAGTTTTGTCAAATCCTAATATCATTCTTGAACAATCTTAAAACGTTTTTTCAAATGCACTAACTTAATACATTCAAAATTTACCCTTGAAGCATTTTGTACATGAGGCTTATAACTTATAAACAACAGTGTTATACATGAGGCTTCCGGGAACCAATACATTTATCCAATATTTTATTTATTTATTTTGGTATGATGATCAATTTTGTACATTACTTGAATGCTTTTCTAATATTAATCATGCCATTTGTTTTATGAATGCCCATGGAATTTTTTATGGCAATGTTGAAAATGAGGAGATGAGGCTACCTAGTTTGAATTTGTAGATTTCAGGATGACTAGAGATGTAATCTTACCAATATTTTCAAACAATACCAAAAAGATAGAAGTCTGTAAGTAAAAGAAAATATTATAGGTGTCTAAATTTGAAATTTTAAAACCTACAAAATATTATTATTTTTTAAATAATTATATAAATCAAATGAATTAAAATTTAAATTTAAAATTAGTATTTTTCATAAAACCTAAGTATTCCTTGTTCTTTATTACTTGTTTTTCCTATATATCATCGATAATAATCGTTATGATATATATTTGTTAAATTTTCTTTGAATAGAAACATTGAAAGGGGGATGGCAAACTGGAGCAAAAGTTAGGCAAAATGGCAAGATTGCTTAGACATAGTTTTCCAGGCTTTAAAAGCAGCCGACGTACGTGTGGAGGCTGAACATTCCAAAATGTTCATGGTCACTTTGGAATATAAATAAATATAAATAAAATCATGCAAATTGGTCGCTTAAGACATCTTGGTCTCCACCATTAACAACGCCAAAGTGATAGAAAGTTCTTAATTTCTTTTATGTTCATTGTCGAAATTTCTTAATTTCCTTTTTCTTTTTTGTCTTGGATGTATAATTATAATACATACAATATATAGGAAAAGAAAAAAAAATATTTAGTAAGATTAGGGTTAAGGTTTAGATTTCAAATTTAAGATTACATATAGATATAAATATCAATTTTTTTTAATTCGAAATAAATAGATTATTCAAATTTTTAAATCAAGATAAGATATATTGTATGTGATAACTTAAAATAAATGAATAAAAATCGTATATTCGAAATAATCATAACAAACGATTATCAATTAAACTCAAATCCAAAAATTTTATGCCTAAAAAATTGATATTTTACCATTTACACCACCCAATTGATGATATATAACCTATTTGAAACTTAGAATATAGTGTAGGAAGTGCTATTTTTTTTTTTTATCGTCAGAAAAACTAATTAATCAGATTAAAACCATAATAATATTATCATCAGAAGAAATGTAGGTTTTATCATTGATTTCAACAGTCACATTCATCATTGGTTTGAATTTTTATGGACTAAAAAGTGTCAAAAACATAGACTTGATTTAGGAATATTGTAAATGGTCTTATTCTTTTTTGACGGGACATTGTAATTAAAATTCAACAAATATGCTAACACATACATAATAAGCTAAGAGCTTACCTAATCATCAGAAAAACATTACACGTACTTACGTTTTTTGCTACAAATTTTCAATCTCCGTCACCATTTAGAAAGCTTCTTCCTTCTTTTGCCCATCTGGTTTAGGAAATATTTTTTTTAACCCCATTTATATCATAAGTAAAAGTTTGCCAATATTTAAATCCCAAAAAATGAATAGAAAAGAAAAACCAACAAAGATATGGCAATTCGTGTTCTATTATAGTAAAAAATATTATATTTGTATTGTATTTTACACAAAAATATATATCATAATTTATATAGATTATAAATATAAAATATAAAATTTTAATTTTATTAAAATTTTAAATTATATTAAATTATTTTAATATTGTATCATCTCGTCGATTTCAAATGAATGCAAATGAAACTCATGGGCTTAGCTGAGGTGGAGGCTCTTCTTAGGCTAGCTTTGTCCAACTCCAAGTGAGAGCCTGGAATTTCTTGTGGGGAGCCCATAACGAAAAAAGCATGGGGTGAGAGAGGCTCGAACTCTCGACCTACCAACTGCGCCACCACCCCTTTGTTTGCAAAACAAACAAAGCCAAAACTAGCTCTTGGCGAAAACTTAGATTCTCCTTAAGGTCGGCATCCTGAAAGGTACTACTACGAATCTTTGCTGGCTTGAAAGATATTTAAACATGGATAAGCCTAGAGATCGAGTGTTCTTGCCTGCACTTTGGACATGCTATTGAATGTGTGTCCTAACCCTAAACAAGTAATATTAATGGATTCATTGCTGGAAATTCTGATTAATAAACCCTTTTAGCTTATATCAAGGAAATTCATTCAAATAGAAAAAAAGGAAGCTTTAAAATGTTGGCAGGATACCCTTTGAATCATATTATTGTAGAGAAGAGAAATTTTAATGTGTGAAAAATGGAATTTAATTTATTTGAGAATGAATTTTATGGAGTGACATATGTAAATGAAATGTCATATTTCAAATGAATATCACAGTCAAATAAGTTGCATTTCTTTGCGAATGGTTTTTTTGACAGGAAATCTCAAATACATCTAAAGATGGCAAGGCTAGCTGTTAGATCACAACTTCTTAATTCCCAAATCTTAATGTTATCACAAAGGACAATCAAATTTAGAATTGGTTTACCTGTCTTTGCGGGAACATTTATCCCAATCCAGAAAAGAAAATAAAGAAAAAAAAACAATAATCCTAAAATTAATACCAAAAGCTGTTCAATTAACCACTTTTGTTTTTCACCACATCCAATAGGCCATTAAAACCTCAAAGGAAAACATTTCTTTTCAATCCCTCCATTCCTTTGTCATCTCCTTCTCTTGATCGTATATCAAACAAAGTGACAAAAGGAAATAAAAGCCATGAGTCTCAACTGCTTGACTCGCCAGGTCCTGCGAAGAACAGATTCAAACAATGATAGGGATTGTGGTAAAGAAAAGGAAAGCGGGAAATTTTGTTGTATAAGGATTGATAGAAGTTGGTCAGGGAATATAAGTCCCGCAGCTTACGAGCAAATCAGAAGTGAGACAATGTCCGTGGTTCCTTCAAAGAAGATAAAGAAGAGTCACCGCCGGCTAAATACAATTGATACAACTTATGGCGCTGTGGCGTTTGAAGCTGACGTCGACGGGGAACCAAGGTTGGTGAGGAGCTGTGGAATGAGGAGGGATTGGAGCTTTGAGGATTTGAGAGGAGAGAGGGATAAAAAGATGAGAGTGCGTTGATTAATTAAGAAAGAAGAAACTGAGACTACATGCATGGCTACCAATTGATTTCTTTTTGTTTCTCTGAATCAAACACATTATTTCATCGTCAAATTTAGATTTTTACCCTTTTTTTTTTGTTTGTTTCTTTTAATTTCATTTGGTTTGGTTGCACATTTCATGTTCCCAACTATACTTAATGTATGCTTTACAAATTTTCTTGCCATGATAGCTTCTCATTTTGTATCGAATTCAATGAATTTCATTGAGAATTAGAAGGCAAATTCATTAGTTTCGACTGTTGGAGTGAAAAGGAGCAAAAGCCAAAAACCATCTGAATTCAGAACCATATGCGTTTAATATTTTCATCCTATATATTTTAGTTTAATGCCTTAGCTAGAAAGAATCATAATCCCATTTTCGAATCATATCTTCCGTTAGAATCCCGTTTATTTTTATTCCAAAAGGAACAAGGGAACTTGTCTCGTACAAAACACTGTGGCTTTCTCAAACATTCACTCAATTCCCTTGAAAGATATTCCATTTCCACAAGGTTTTCTGCGTTTGACCAGCAGAAGCAGAAACTTTCTAGTTTCTAGTCCTATGACTCATCAAATCTGGAAAGTGATAAGCTACAATAGAAATTGGGTATTTGTTCTGAAATTCCTGGAATTGACTATAATAAGTGCTTTAGCAGTTAATGAAGCCCATTTTATGGTTCCATTCTTTTAATCTTCTGTCTCTCTTCTGACTGGATGTCTCACCATCATACAATTTATAGAAAAAAAAAAAAAAGAAAAGAGATTTATCACTTGGCACTATCACATTGGATTTCTAATCAACCTCATCACTTGGTTAAATCATGTTGATGGAAATCTGTTTTGAAATTTTTGTAAGTTTATTCCTAGTATTGTCTTGAATATATGTTGAAATAAAACTTGTCTCTTTTTCTTCTACCAGGTGTTGCAGTGATAATAGAGGTCTTAAAAAAAAACTAAAGAACTTTGGTAGTGTATTAAAAATTAATAGAGTAGGTGCAGAAGTTTGCTACAACTGCAAGATTTGATCCTTAAGAACTAAATCAGGGGATGGCTTAGCTTTGAAAAAGCTTACAATGGAAAGGTTTGCCTAATTGGGCTTGGACCCTTCTTCTACTTTTAGGCTTTACAGCAAAGCTTGTTTTTGGTTGAGTTCATGATTCCTTCTGTTATTCTTTTCCAGCGTGGGATGAGACGAAGGGTTTGTTAGCACAAAAAAAAAAAACCCACTTGCATCTTCATGAAAAATTTTAATTACCAATGATGTTGGGTACCAGAATCTGCAATTCTGGCATGATGAATTAAGATAATGAATAATTTACCAGAAAAATATATTAACAGCAGAAATATTCTTGATTACAGGCGTATCAACTTCACGGTCCAATACTAACCACTTCAATTTGCTGTTTGGTTCAACAAGCATTGAATATATACAATACAAATCAGAATCAACCTTTATTGATAATTTTTCATTTTTATTAATTTTATGTGAATATTGAAGATGAATAAAGCATCTTTGATGCCGAAGGCCACCATAGTCTTGGTAAATGCCAGATTCCAACGTTGTGGGGAATCGTTTCATTTTATGAACCAAGTGACTTCTAAAAGAATAATAATGGAGAGGTATGTAATTCAATATTGTAAAACACATATGGCCTGATCTGATAGACTTAATAACTTATTACTGATTTTGTTAAAAAAATTTAATCTTTATTTTTGCCAGGAAAATAACACATCAGAAGTTGAATCCGTTCAGCATTTTACTCAACAGATCACATAGACAGGAACAAAATCATAACGAGAGATATGTATTTACGTGAAAATCTATTTTGTCAAATAAAATTCTTGTTATCTATCGTTTAGGCTAAAATGTAACGTAAACTTTATCAAAAAGTTTCTATGAATCTAATTGGCCATCAAGTGACTTTAGTTGAAGATAAGTGACAGCCAAACATTACTTGATGCCTCACCGCCACCTTAAACTAAGATTTGGAATTTTGTGGTCTGGTTCATTTTTAAATTGAAGGTCCAAATTTCTAGTTGAAGTTATGCTTTTCATAAATGTCATAAACTATCGCACCAAAATTTTAAATCGTCATATAAAGCAGAGGCTCTTACCATTGTCTCCCAATTCAATGCAAAATTTGGGGAAAGCAATTAATAGTAAAATACTAAAACTAACCCAAGTATATTAAGAAAAATAAAGGATCCATCCTCCAAATATATTGGTCTTTCTGCAACACTGTCAGAGCAGTAAGGGCAGTGGAGAAGGCAGGTTTTCACATGCAATCCTTCAGATGTAAAAGCTCTTTTCCTATCACAAATGTCGGTGCATTTTTGGCATGAAAGCATTATATGGTCGAAAAGATACCTAAAACAGGGAACCAGATCACCCCGGTCCTTGAAATGAAAAATAAAATAAAAGTAGAAAGACATCCCAAAAGCTATTTTCATCAAAAGGGTAGCCAGCACGTCGACGCTTGCAAGGAAAATGCAAGAAACATCACTACCAAGAACAACAAAAGCATTTGAAGGAAGGAACAAAGGATACAAATGAATGAAGTAATAAGAGTTCCTAATGTCCCCTTGTTCACACAACCTCAAAAACTAATGTTGATGTCTGAAACGCCTCAATAAAAAGGTGTAAGCGTATGCTTCATGTCCCAGCAAAACTTTAATAGTACTTAAACAAAGTTAGGCATAGTCCAGGGAAGGAACCATGGAGGAAACACAGTAACAAACCCAGAACTTCATTCAGGTTCAAATTAATAACATGCTATATACATTGAAGACATACTACTACAAGATTTAACACAAAAAGGCTATTTCCAGTTGGCTGCAGCTCAACAAGGTTAATCAGTGTTAAAATTAATAGGAAATCAATCAACCTGCTAACCAGTTAAGCTTCTCCTTGATTCAGATCACCTCTCAAACTATTAACTATACTAAACACTACTTAAGAACAAAATAGAACAATATTTTACAGAGCATGTGCTACCGGGAGCCTTAAAATGTCCCAGAGGCCCTGAAGCCATTTTAAACAATGAAACTCTGGCCCTGTTTATCTCCGATCAAGCTCTATCCCAATTGCTTAGACAGATCAAGCTCCGCTCAATACTCTCTATCTTGCATCTCCAACTTTGGATGCCAGTGCTAGCCTAAGCTGCTCCTGTGTGTAAAACCGGCTCACCATCTTCACAGTGGCTTGCTGCATCATCAATTCATTCACTACTGACACACTAGCGTGATGCACATCGAGGTCTAACTCCTTCAAGGCAGCCATTAACCTTGCTGCTGGATGGTTCTCTTTACTGCATTGGATTCGAATCATTGCATCCCATCCAATGATCTTCACATCAATATCCAAATCTATCAATTTATTGCCAAGGTGGTTCGACATCTTGAGGTTTTGATCAGGTGGTGGTGGTGGTGCAGAACGAGACTCTTTACTTGCCAATTCTTTCTTCATCTCATCTATTTGTTTCTGCAACTCCTCTTTCTCCGAATCTGCATTCTGTAGCTTTGTCCTAAGCTCGTTAATATATGAAATTGCATCACCAAGGAGTGATGCCTTATCCATCTTTGATACATTAGGAACCACGGCTCGCAGGGCATAAAACCTTTGGTTAAGCTTCTCTCTTCTTTGACGCTCTGCTTCAACGTGATTCAGAGGCTCTTCTCTTCCATTAGCCGGTTTTCTCCCTCGTTTCCGAGGCCTCTTTTCAGGCTCCACAACTCTGCTACTATCAGCTTCCTTAACGACAGAAGCTTCAATATCAGAGTGATCCGAATCCCTAGCACCGCCACTTGATTTCACCACATCTGAAGAAGGCACAATTACACCAGAAGTAAACGAAAGCATCCCCTCTTCATTACTCCCTCTCGAAGTAGGCGATCTCTTCTTCTTATTCTCCTCCACCACAAACTGAGAGTTCCTTGAGAACAAATTCCCATTCCCACTTCTCTTACTGTCGCCAAAATTCAGTATCTCCCCTGATTCTGGTTTCAACAAATGAGAAGAAGAGTTCCCATTCCTTACACTGCTACTCCCATCAAAGCCATAATTGGAGAAATTCATGCAGAAACTCTGCCCCTGCTGATGATTTCCAGCATGAATAGATCCCGGATTCTCAGTTAAACTACTCGAACTCGGATTGTCACAGAACTGAATCGAGTTCTGAATCTGCTGATTCTGATTACTAGTATTATTGTTGTTGCCGTTGTTATTGCTTTCCTTAAGCTCGACTCCATTATTTGGATCACTAATCCAGAGCGAAGACGGATCATTTTCGCCTTGATCAGCTGTGTTATTACTCATAGACCACGAACCAGCTTCAATTCCATTATTGAAATTAAACAAAACCCGAACATTATTCATCAGATCTGAGCTTTGCATGATAAATTCCATTGACCCCAATTCAACAACCCCATTTGCCAACGGTATACAAACCATCGTTTGCAAACCGAAAACCTGCCCTTGCCTCGCTCTCTCGCACATCGAACTCTCTAACCGGTCCGACCCAGCAACCCAAATCGGACTCGAATTGAAAAGGGCTTGTCCCGGAAGCCCGCTGCCGTTGACGAAAGACTGCGTCATGGATACTAAAAAGAACCACTCAGTATCGGTGACTTCTTCGTCGACGGCATCATCGGTGGTGGCTGTAGAGCCGGAAATCAAAGAGTTAAGTTCTCTAAGCACTTTTTTACGGTGCTGTTGTTCCGCAACTGTAGATGAAGAAGCCTTCAACTTTCCCTTTCCTTTATCTTCTTCGCCTTTGTAATACCCATCGCCCCAGCCGAGTACAGTAGTGCCGGAGCAATCGTACGAGGACTGCCAAAAAATGGCGTAAGTCCAATACTCGCGGGCGCCTTCGATGAGGGCTTGGAGACGCTGTTGAAGGGTTTCTTGATTGAGTAGAGAAACGGAGGGCTGAGATTGGGCGAGAGAGGACTTCGAAAGGTCCGGTCCACCAGCAACAGCAGCTGGTGTGGAAGTGGATGCAGAGGATTGCGGGGGCGGCCAAAAAGCAGAAAAATCAGAGCTCATAAAGGCTTCCATAACCGATGCGTTGTCGTCCGTCCAAAGATTCATCGTCGGCGCTAACCGATAGTCCGTCATTCCATAAGATTTCGCCAGATTTCGTACCCTTTTTTTTTTGTGGTTTGAGCAGGAAGAGAAAAGGAGAAAGGGTGAGAATGGCGATCAGATTATTTGGGGTGCATTTGGGTTTGCTTTGGGATTTATTTGGAGTGAATTTGAGCCGATTTTTTATTTTTCTTGGGGTGGATGGGGAAATAGGGGAACTGGAGAGTGGATAAAAAAAAGAAGAGGGCGGTTTCTACGAAGGGGCGGGTACGCGGACAGCCGATTAAATCGTAAACGTTCGGCGTGTCAAGCAGCTTATAGGGCCAGGGTTGAAGTACTTAAGTTAGCTCTCTGTTCGCAGCTTCTTGGCTTTGGTTACAGCATGTGCGTGGCACGTGGTTCATTGCATGGATAGGAGCAGGATTAACTCGAGAGAGGTGGGAATTTTGTCAGAATAAAACTCTTTTTTAATAAAAAAATCATAATTTAAAGATAAAAGAATAATTATAATTGTTTTAATTTAAATTTAAAATTTATTAAATATTATTTTTAAAAAATAATTAAATAAATCAATTAAGTATTAAACCATAAATTTTTCATTTGCCATTTTAAGTTAAGTGGGTGCTTTTTTATTTTTTAAATTTTGCTTTAAATAATATTCGAGTAATAAATAAGTTCAATTCCTTTCAATAAGATTAACAATTTTTTATTAATTTACAAATATATCCTTAAACTTTAATAAAAAATAAAATAAATTTCTTACTTTTTTATTAAATATAAATAAAATTATATTTTTATTTATTTATCTGTAATTATGACTATAAACTTTTAAAATCAATTAAAATCCAATTGAAATAACAAAAACTTAACATTTTGTCATTCAGCATTGCTAATAAACACATGACAAGTTATAATTAGAAAATATGTTAAAAACATTATTTCGTATTAATGGCCATAATTTATTCTAAATATGGTTGATTGAGTTGATGTTTCTTTGTCTTTGTTGGTGGAATAAAATCTCTATAAAAAATTAGAAAATATATTGTTTGGTTAAAAAAGGAAAAACAAGAAGAGCAGCCGATGTGGTCCAATCACATTACAACGTTATAGTGAATATTTTAACAGCCTGTAACTAAATTAAATCTTCGGCTTCTTCTACTAAAGAGCCGCCGATGTAAAATTCCCAAAATATCGGCGGCAGTTTCCCAATTAATCGCCACTCGCCCACTCCAGTATTTTGAGTTCGCTTAAAGATATTCACTTTTTTTTTTCTTTTAAATTTGGAAATTTTCTACACTAAGCGACAATTCATGGTATGGTAGGGAATAAAGACAGCCTAAAAAATAATAAACAAAAAATGATAATAAAGTAAGAGACGCGTTGGAGTATCGAGAATAAATCCTGACCGTTGATCTATTTCCATTTAATTATAAAAAAATTAATTATTGAGGCACGTTTTGCTTGATGCTAGTGAAATTAGATTTTATTATATTAATATATTTTTTGTCGGGGCACGTTTGTGAGCCACTGCCCATGTGAAAACACCACGATCAATTGAATCATATTTTATTGAAACTTTATGGGATTGTTTTTCCGAGCACAAAGTTTCGACTATTTTTAGCAATTACATCCCAAATACTTCAACTTGTTTACAGTTAAGTCCTTCGAGTAAGATGCGCATTGTTGAATGCTGATGGAATCTAAATCCTATGGAAGATATAATAATAGTAAGTTGATGGTTAAAATTAATTAATACGAGTTTAATGTCTATTCATAAAAAAAAAAAAATGACAACATAGCGGATTAGAATCTTCTCCTTATTAGATTAATGGATGTAAAAATTTATTATCAAGATATTACTTTTTAAATGGTAATTATTTTTAAAAAAAATTTCAAACTTAAATTTTATTTAATGCATGATTTTAATATGATTAAAATTTATTCTCGTAAGATATGATATTGAAACTTCAAGTGCCAATGATGGTCTAAGAATGAGTTTCCAACGCACTAAAGCAATTCACTGGGTGGTCCTTAATCATTACCTCAATTGAGTTAACATTACATGTAAAAGAAGATGTGGGTAAGTTAGTAAAAGTATAAAAAAAGAGGGGAAAAACTAGAATAACATGTAAGTAAAGGGGCATTATTACTAAATCTGTTTTAGTGACTTCCAATGACAAGTCAAAGGCAATCATTCATGCCACTTAAAAAGAATGAATTGACAAAAGGCATTGCGACTCCTAATTGATTTAATCACCTTTTTTCTAATACCACACATTGCATGTTGCCCAGATTAACACTACCATGACTTCAACTCGACCTTTCCTTTTTTTTTTTTATTTTTTCTGCTAATGACTTTATAAGCTCAGATTAATGACCTTAATTTGACTGTTTACTGATCTAATTCATCTCTAACCAATGATAAACTCTTGCACCTATGTATTTGACTCAGCAATGTTGGATACCTGTTTATTCAAGCAATCAGTCCAAATCATTCTTTTCAACAGTTAATTTTTATGAGAATTTATTTTTTTTTTATTGTCATTGAAGTTTTTAAATTTTATAAATGAAATTAATCTAATAATACATATTATTTAAAATATATTTAAAATAAAAAATTAATTAGAAGAATGAGATATGTGATAATTTTATCATAAATGAATTCAAAAGAGGCAGGCATGAGTTACGGTTTCTTCAAAAAAAATTATAATATAGAAACTTAATCCATCTAACATAAACATCGATTTTTTCTTTTCCTTGATTTTTTTTTTATCTTATACCCGACTTGTCCTTGAATTTCGTTCATAAAATTAAAACAATTACATTGTGCATGTATCCAAAAATTGTGATGTCGTTTTTTTATGGTTAATACAATGAATGAAAGTTAGATAATCATCAAGTGCTTGTCTATAAAACTTTAGTTCAATTAAAAATTTATGATGATAAGATAGAATAATAATCCACTCAAGCAATGCCAATAGACCCATTCTTTTCCAGCCTCTCACCATACTCCCCATTAATTTTTTTTCCCATACTTTATAATCATTGTTGGTAATAAATATAAAATAAATCAAAGAAAATGCCAAAAAATTAATTATTTGGAGTGAAAAATTAAACAATGTTTTTTTATATGTTGGTCCCATAATTTTAATTCTTCTTCAATTACGTACCCAATTTTTGGTTATTCATTTCATGCCCCTATCATTGAATCTTGTTTTGGAGTTTTTTGTTTCTTAACTTCCAAAGTAAGATGGAGCCTACAAGTTTGGCGGAGCTTTCAATGCGTACCATTCCCCCACTTGCACACGACACCCCCACACACAAAAACAAAGAAAAAGGACTTTTAAAAAAAGCTGTTTTTTAAAAGTGGAAAAAAGGCAATTTGAGTATATATATCTGATAAATAAAGATTGAAAATGAAATAAAGGAAAAAAAAAAGATTTGGTCTGGGCAAATTAATAATTCCCACAAGTTTCACATGCCACTTTGCTAAATAATACTATAGTACAACTAGCAATAACTATTATTAATCTTAAAAAAATGAGATTAGGTTTAGTGGATGTAATCGAATCATCTTTGCTCTTCCTTAATTCATGGCTCCACGATTTTTTTAGTCAACACTCCTTGTTATGCTTAATTAAACTTTTTGATTTTATCTTTTAATTTGTTCCTATTCAATCCTCATCTCCCCATCTAAAATTCTAAATTTAAAAAATTATAAACTTACGTGTATCTCTAAAAATTCTAATTATAATCAATTATTTTTTAATACACATTAAAAAATCAATTATCAAACTAAACTAACAACAGATATATAATCGGACAAAACACAAATAACATATCTTTTTGTTATTAAGACAAGTACGGCTTGACTTTTTTCCTACTTAAAAGTAACAGTATTATTTTCATGGTTAAAAAAATTTACAGTTTTTCTTAAATTGAAAAATCACATGAAATTAATTAAAAGAAGCTTAGGGATGGATTATGTCATTTTAATTAGGTCATGCATTTAAGTAGATCTAATTATTTAATATGTAATATAGTGACATGACATGAAAATAATTTATAATTTTAGCAAAGATCACATATAAATTTAATAAAACTAAAAAATATATTTCATATTTTTGTATCAACATAAATTATCACATATAATTTTCGTATAAAATATAATATGAACACATAAATTATTAATATTTTATATGATACAAATATATAAATTATCAAATCTATATTTAAATAGGTATGATTAAACAAGATAATGATTAATTTATACTTTAATAATAAAAATGTCATGAAAATGGAAATCCTTGCATAATATGAGAGATCCACTTAAGTTGAAACTAAAAAATTTTATATTTTTTAATCATTAATTTAAACATATCCAAAAAATGAGAAAGACAAGTTTAAAAAAATGATTTAATCTCTTCCATTTAATTTATTAAATTAATAATTAGAAAAATATATAAAATTTTTTAGTTTTACACTAATGTAATTATTACATTCTTAAAAATTTTTGAATCAAAATTATTAAATTTAAAAATATTATTTTGATTAATATAAGTCATAAATTTAATTTTAATCCAATAATTTAAAAAAATATAAAAATTATATTAATACAAGTGAATTTCTAATATATATATAATTATATAATGAAAGTAATTCCTCAATTTTTACTGTTTGTTAAGGTTATAATTTAACGACAAATGTCAACTTTTGATTGGCTGTTTATAAGTTTTTATATTATTTTATTTGTAGGTAATAATGGGGTAAAAGGAAGAGAGAAGCTCTAGAAGCTTCTAGAGAATACGAGAAACAATGAAATAAAGAAAATAAAGTTAAAAGAGATTCCTTGAGGGAGATGAATGGGGAAAAAAAGGAAAAGAAAAAAAAGAAATGTGGGAGGGAGGTCAAGCTGAGGCCTTTCCTTTACCATTCACCATTCAGTAAGGATGGATAGCCGAATTCATTGGTAATAACAAAGTAAAGAAAATAGAGAAATTTAGAAAGTGAAAGAGGAAGAAAAGACGAGAGAAAGGAAAGCTAATTTGATTGTCACTAGATTGAACTCCACTCACGCCAGCTAGGTCGAAGAAGTCAGGTATCTCACTGATTGATGTTGAACGAAATTGAGGTGAAAGAACATGGAAGAAGAAAAGGAAAGGAAATTAATTTTTTTGCTCTGATATTTTTTATATTTGGGATCTGAAATTGTT